CATGCCCGGCTAATTTTTTCTATATATTTTTAGTTGTCCGATCAATTTCTTTCTATTTTTAGTAGAGACGGGGTCTCGCTCTTGCTCACGCTGGTTTTGAACTCCTGAGCTCAAACAATCGGCCCGCCTCGGCCTCCCAGAGTGCTAGAATTACAGGCGTGAGCCACCGCGCCCGACCAGATTTCTCCATGATTGTATTTCTCCAAAGAGACATCTATTTCCATAGTATTCTCTGGTTTTCTCTCCTTGATTGGCAGTAGCTCTTTTCTACCCAGAGTTTATAGGTGAATTGTATTTAATACTTGATAAACTTAAACTAGTCTTGTGGAAAGAGATTATTAGAAATATAGTCTGGTGTGTATGTTTTATTTCTTCCTTTAGCTGGCATATTCTGGGGTGTTTTGTCTGACACTAACCAATTCTCCAACACCAGTTGGGTGTCCAACGTTCAGTTCAGTTCTGACACTACCTACCTGGAGTTAGCCTGCAATCCAGCAAACTAAAGGACTCAGTCCTACAAGACTGCCTCTACTTCAGATACCAGTTGCGAGTTCTGGGCCACCATCGGGGATGTTCCCATGACTCCGTCCAGGTTCATTAGTTTGCCAGAATAGCTCACAGAACTCAAGAAAACACTTTATTTGTGTTTACCTATTTATCATAAAGGATACAACTCAGAAGCAAATGCTTCAAAGAGAATTGAGTCATAATATGTGGAGAATGGAGGTTGAGCACAAAGTTTCTAGGTCCTCTCAGTGTATCACCCTCGTAACACCCAAATGTGTTTTCCATCCTGGAAGCTCTGAATTGTATTATTCGTGAATTTGTACAGAGCTCTGTCTCCAGCTCCCTCCTCTCACCTTCCTGGTGGTTGGTGGCTGGGGCTGAAAGTTCCAACACTTTAATTACTTTGTCTTTCTGGCTAGAGTCACTTCATTAACATAAAGATCCAAAGGGGCCTGTTATTAATAACAGAAGACATTTCTTTCCTGTCACTCAGGAAATTCCAAGGGTTTTAGGAACTCTGTCAGGAGTCAAGGAGAAAAACCAAATATATTTTTATATTATGTTATACACATAAAAATACATTTCATTGATTTTATTACTTAAATATCAAAGTGTAAATTTTTGGCTGATTTCAGTTATAGGAGTTAAACATGTATTAGTAATGGGTATTTTATTTTTATTTTAAAATGGTTTCTTGTAATGGACTATTGGGTCAGTTAATACTTTTGTGTCTTCCTACTTTAGCATAATCTTGTAAATGATAAAATTTCTGACTTTTATTTATGCATTTTTCTCCCCCTTTATCCTCATAGGTGGCCTTGGAGGACTTGCAGGTCTGAGTAGCCTGGGTTTGAATACTACCAACTTCTCTGAACTGCAGAGCCAGATGCAGCGACAACTTTTGTCCAACCCAGAAATGATGGTCCAGATCATGGAAAATCCCTTTGTTCAGAGCATGCTCTCAAATCCTGACCTCATGAGACAATTAATTATGGCCAATCCACAAATGCAGCAGTTGATACAGAGAAATCCAGAAATTAGTCATATGCTGAATAATCCAGATATAATGAGACAAGTATGTGGAAAGTTCTTCCAGTTCATAATATTTCTTATTATTTAATTTTCTGTGGTTAAAGAGAGTACTCTATACATATGATTAAGCTAAAGAGAGAAACCCTAATCTTTGTTTAGGAAAACTCAGCAAACCATTAATGTGGACTATTTGAACTCTGAATTTTCTGCTAACATTTGAAAGATCATTGTAAATAGTTTAAAGGTTTAAGAAACAAAAGTTCAGTTTTTGGTGGGCAGTTCACTTACAACAAAGTGCTTCCTTTGTGATGTTATTTGAATGTTAGCTTTTTAAGGTGAAATCTACCAGGAATTACTTAAAATAATTTTCTGACTTTTAAATATTAAAGACAAAATTACAACAACTCTAGTTTAAAGCTCCAATTGGTTTTTTATCTATTTATTTTTTGAGACAGGGTCTCTCTCTATTACCCGGGCTCAGACAAGAGTGCAGTGACATCATCACAGCTCACTGCAACCTCTAACTTGTAGCCTCAAGTGATCCTCCTGCCTCAGTCTACCAGTAGGCACTCATTTTTCTATTTTTTGTAGAGATGAGTCTCTTGCTTAGGCTGGTCTCAAATTCCTGGCCTTAAGCTATCCTTCTCCCTCCTCTTCCCACAGTGCTAAGACGTACAAGTATGAGCCACTGCACCTGGCTACAATTTTTTTTTTTTTTTCTGAGACACAGTCTCACTCTG